GGTTTGAGAGTTGTTGTTTTCATCATGTGTAAATGAAATATTAATATTCATAATTTTTAAACAATTCTAGTGCGTAGACTGGTGTAGTTGTGATGAAATTCATATCTGATTATCATAAAACACAGGATGCATGCATTATTTATTTGCTTTTACACCAGCACTTTAGTATTGCACCACCTTTTTTTCACTTTGCAGTTGTAATGCCAGTTTTTTAGGTATGCCTGAGAATGATACATTGTTTACTATTTGCATGGTTTGGGAGTGTTTGAATTGCACTCTTTAGACCATGGAATCAATATGAACACAGCTGCATTTGTGTCAGTGATGTCAGGATAGGGCAAAATTCAAAACGAAAGAACTGGAAAAAAATCAGAACAAATTGGTTCAAATTAATCAGCTGAAATTTTAATGGAAGTTGGAATTTTATTTGGAATGACAAAAATAGGAATATACTGAATTGCAGTTCAAAGAAATTGAACATGGATTCTGAGAAAGCTCTTTTTCCACCCTGATCCACATACTGTAGGTTAATTAATCTACAGTATCTATCGATCAATCATTCCATCTATAAGAGTTCTAAACTTTCAAACTTCAAAGCTATTCAAACTTTGCTTTTCTAATTAAAAATTAGTTATATGATTTTCTTTGAATTTCAGTTCATTTTGCTTCCATTCGCATTCAGACTTCTGCATCCCATTTTACTTCCTCAATTCAAATTCAGGAATCAAATTGGACTTTAAAAGGCATTCGCAATTCACATGACCCTGGTAGATGCACTCTGCATATCCCATAATCCCACATAAATGCAGAGTATCAAACTCTGCCTGTGTGAACCACCCACTCTTTATTTATCTCATTATAAAGTCTGTCCCTGTGAGGCTCGAAGATTTCCCCTAAAGTGCTGTCCGACTAGAGCCTGATAAATGGTCTTAAGTGGTGAGACGTTCAGTCTGACATATATAATTCAGCATGCTCAGTCAGCAGTGTCACTACAGCACGCACACACAAGAGATCCAGGAAATGCTCTTTGATCAATTCTCCGCTTTCTGGAATCCCAGCTGGCCTGGCTGACCCGTCCTCCATCTGAGCCGAGCATTTACACAATCCATTTGAGAGAGAGAAATACGAAGGCTTGTTAGGAGATATTTCATTTCCTCCGAGGCAACAGGTGCTTTGTGTTCAGGGATATTGAATCCTGCAAACAATCTACTACCCGAGTGTCTGAGGTGTGGATTTGAATTGCAAATGCCTTTATCCGCCGGCAAACTCCTCGTGAGGCGGAGAAGGACCACCGTTCTGTTCGCAGAGATATTTGTGACAGACGCGGGAAAATGATTTTAGGCAGTGCTGTCGGGAATCAGCAGCGGGGACTGTGATGTGGCTGTACAGTTTACAGAAGATTCACTGTGAATACGAGCAGCTCCGCAGGTCTGGAAATCAGCCGGTCTGTTTAGACAAACGAACTGTCAGTCAAAGCTGGACTGAACAATATGTTGTTCCTCGGTTGATTCAGTATTAAATGTGGTTTGCTGTTGTTGTCTTGCATTGATTGATAGTGTGTCCAACAGAGCAGAGAGCATCGTGTTTTCAGTCTGTCTACTCTTAGTAAACTATATTGTCCTTTCTGTCACATTCCTATTTTGTAAAACTTGAAGAAGTAGTAGAAACTAACCAAGATTGCTCAAGATTTTTGCATGTTACAGTTACAGCTTGTAACAGCAAAAACAAGCCAATTTAAAGGGACAGTTCACCCCAGAAATGAAAATTGTCATCATTTATTCACTCTCATGTCATTCCAAACCTGTATGACTTTCTTTCTCCTCCAGAACTCAAAAGAAGAAACACCATTAAATTACCATAAATGTAGTCCATATGCTTTGTGTCCCATCAGGTTTGGCACCACATGAGGGTGAGTAAATCACTGTCCCCTTAAATGTGTTTTGGTAGTGATTTCTCCTGTCAGTCTTTGGCTTTTGCTTGTTTGTCTCGTAATGTAATTTAAATTCACTGATCAGTTTCCAGGTTGAACCCTGCACCCCTATCTCACTTATCCTTGTCTAGTTCCCTTTCACTGTCACATAAAATCTGTGAGCATAATTACGCCGGAGAGGAAATCTCCCAGAATGAGTCTCTCTCTCTCTCTCTCCCTGTGAGAGGGGTTTTATAGGCCAGACTGCAGCAGTCCCTTTGGGTGGAAGAATGAAGGAGTTTAAACTCACAACAAAACACGCCAGGCCATCACGCTCATCCAGGGAGCATCTTCAGCCGGCTCGATCCAGCTCGCTGTTTGTGAAAGATGGGAGCTGCATGCTTGATTATTTTCTCCTAATGTTTCACTTGTCATATCAGTATTGACAGAAAGCACTATGTTTACCACTTTGGGGAATTGGGCTATCAATATTTATGTCGCCACAACAATACATTTCCATTTTTAATGCAAGGCTGGTGCCTGAATGTCTTTGACTCATGTCTGCAGATCGTGGAGCTTTTTCTGTTTGGTGCTGTAGAACCTGCCCTACATCCAAATTCATGTGAACAAGGAATGAGTGTATTTGCTCCTTGGAGAAGCCAAACTCTCACAGTGCAAGTCAAAGGATGCTCGCACATTGATTCGCCCAGGGCTAGTGAAAAGATTTCTGATACAACAGCCTGCAATCCAGGAACCAGATTCTGGTGTCTATCATATGAGTAACACTTGTTCTTCAGGCTGAAACACTGAATATTTGTTCAAAACAAGAGTTAAAATGACAGAAAGCTGTTTTATTGTAGGTTGGGGCCATCTAGTCCAGTCCTGCCCAGTCTAGACCAGTTCACTCCAAAGTAGTGTAAATCAGTCCAGTTTATAGGTTGAGACCATCTAATCTAGCCCAACCATAATTCAGTTAAATATAGTTGAGCTCAGTCAAATTAGTCCAGTAAAATCAGATCAAGTTTAGTTCAGTGAAATGTAGTCCAATCCAGTTTATAGATTGAGGCCATCTAGTTAATCTAGTTAAATGGATTAACCCACTTAAGTCCATTCTAGTCCAGTCTAATCCATTTCAGTCCAACGTAGTCCAAACCAATCCAGTCTGCCATCAGCTCCAGTCCAGTTTATAGGTTGAGGCCATCTTATCTGGCCCAACCCACTTCGGTCCATACTAGTCCAGTCCTGCCTGTTCTAGACCAGTTCAGTCCAAAGTAGTGTAAACCAGTCCAGTTTATAGGTTGAGACCATCTAATATAGCTGAACCATAATTCAGTCCAATATAGTCTTGCCCAGTCAATATAGTCCAGTAAAATCAGCTTCAGTTCAGTTCAGTGAAATGTAGTCCAGTGACAGTCCAGTTTATAGATTGAGGCCATTTAATCTAGCCTAACCCACGTCAGTCCATTCTAGTCCAGTCCAATCCATTTCAGTCCAAAGTAATCTAAATCAATCCAGTCTATCATCAGCTCCAGCCCAGTTTATAGGTTGAGGACATCATATCTAGCCTAATCCACTTCGGTCCATACTAGTCCATTCCTGCCCATTATAGTCCAGTACAGTCCAGTCTAAGTCAGTTCAGTGTAATCTAGCCCAGTCAGTCTAGTGCAATAAAATCAACTCCAGTCCAGACCAGTTTAGAGAATGAGGCCATTTAATCTAGTTAAATGGATTAACCCACTTAAGTCCATTCTAGTCCAGTCCAATCCATTTCAGTCCAGTGTAATCTAAACAAATCCAGTCTGTCACAGCTCCAGCCCAGTTTATAGGATGAGGCCATCATATCTAGCCTAAACCACTTCGGTCAATACTAGTCCAGTCCTATCCATTCCTGCCCATTATAGTCTAATTCAGTCCGGTTCTGTCCATTCTAGTCCAGTCTAATTCAGTTCAGTGTAGTCTAGCCCTGTCAATCTATCCAGTATAATCAACTCCAGTCCAGTTCAGTGAAATGTAGTCCAGTCCAGTTTATTGAGGCCATCTAATCTAGCCTAACCCACTTCAGTCCATACTAGTCCGGTCTTGCCCAGTCTAGCCAAATTCAATCTGGTTCAGTCCATTCTAGTCCAGTGTTATTCAGTTCAATGTAGGTCAGTCCAGTTCACTGCAGTGTAGTCAGTTCGGTTATAGTTTGAGGCCATCTAATCTAGCCTAACCCACTTCAGTCCATGTAAGTTCAGTCTTGCCCATTCTAGTCCATTCCAACCCAGTCCAATACAATTCAGTCCTAAATTGTCTAATCCAGTCTAGTCTGTTATCAACTACAATTTATAGGTTGAGGTCTATTATCAGCTCGGTCCAATTCAGTGCAAGGCAGTCCAGTCCAGTTCATAGGCTGAGGTCATTTAAACTAACCTACCCCACTTCAATTCATGCTAATCCAGCCCTGACCTTTCTAGTCCAATTCAGTCCCTTCTAGTCCAAACCAATTAATTCCAAAGTAATCTAGCCCAGTCTAGTCTATCAAATGCAGTCCAGTTTATAGGTTGAGGTCATTTAATCTAGCCTAGCCAACTTCAGTTCATGATAGTCCAGTCCTGTTATTTCTAGTCCAGTCCATTTCATTTCATTCCAATGTAATCTACCCCATTCTAGTCTATTAGATTCAGTCTAGTTTATAGGTTGAGGACATCCAATCTTGTCCAGTCTAGTCTAGGCCAGTCAAATGCATGCCAGTCTAACACAGTCTAGGCTAGCCTGATCCAGTCTATTCAAATCCATTAAGGTCCCATTATCTTTTAGTATGCCCGATTATTGCTTCTAGACCTGCTGATGGCTGCCCCATCAGACCATGGCAGGTGGCATTTATCTTAATGAATATACCATAGACGTTTGTCGTGAAACATAACACATAATCAAAGGTTAGTAAAGGAAGTAATAGCTTTTCCATTAGCATTAAACGAGGAATGAACCACAGTCGATGAAACCTGATGGTTTATGACTACAGTCTTTTATAATGACACATATCATAGACTCAGTCCAGACCATAACCGGACTGCACATCTTTATTCTGGTCTTTTTTTCTCTCTTTCAGGGCTGTAATGGGTCTTGGTCATGGCAGCTACTGCTTCGCGCTCCTGCGTTCCATCCCAGCCGCGTTTTACGTGGTTCTGGTCACCAGTCTCCGATACCACCTTTTCATCTGGAGCGTGTTCTCTCCGAAACTCTTGTACGAGGCCATGCACACCCTCATCAACACCGCCGTGTGTCTGTTTTTCACCTTTATGGATCAGGAACGCTCGGCCAGACCATGAATACAAAGGCATAACCAAAGCCAAACTCAGGTACAGAACAAACGGTGCAGTTGAGTTTTGTGCACCAAAAGGAGAAATGAGAGGAAAAGCGACGGGAGAAGGTTTTCGGTAATTCTACTACTGTGAATGACGTCAACGTTAAGAATTCAGAGCTTACATGGCGATTTGGCTTGCTCTACTGACTTCTGCTCATTTGTGTGTGTGTGATTAAATTATTTTTATATTTTTTGAGGGGTCTTCGATAGTGCAGATAATGTATGGGAAGACTTGTGGGCGTACATATGATAATCCCTCTCATTCTCTATGCAGTTTTTTTTTCCTAAAGCTTTACAGATAATGGAGAGTGTAATTCTTTTTGTATCTTGCAATTTCCGTTCCTGACCGTTGCTTCACCTCTAGAATAATACGAGATAAGATACATCATTAATAACTCTCCCCTCGCTGAGATCACAGCAGATGTAAACTCCTCACACACTTGAAAGCTTTAAGGGATCTTAAAAGTCTTTTAAATCATATCTAAACACAGCTACGTGTGACGTTTTTATTTAATCCGCCTGTTGGGAATGTGAATTGTAAACTGATTTATCTTGGTAAGTGTTTTTCTTTATCTCAGTGCTTAAATCTGATTAATATAAACAAATCCTTTTCTGATTGAGAGTAATTCATTTCTGCATGCTTTTTAATGTGTGATTCACAGTTTTGCCTCTCTGATTTGTTTTGATACAGTCGCTGTGTACAAGTTTGAAAGTTATGTTAAATGTCACTTATTAATCAGTGACACTAACAGTGTGACTTAACCAGACATGATGCAATAACACACTGACCATCACAAGACTTTTTGTCTTTTGCTTTGTTTCTGTCTTCATTACATTTTGCTTAGTAGCTCCGCCCACAGTGAAATCTTATTGGTCAAAAAATCTGCTCCATGTAACTGTATATTAAACAATCATTCTCTGAATGGTAAATTTATGTTGTAAGTTTTATGTTTTAAGTTTTGCTTCCATTAATGGTTATGGACTGTTTCATTTCTTTTGTTGATGATATTGACATACACTACCATTCAAAAGTTTAAGATCAAGATTTTTAAAATGTTTTTGAAAGAAGTGGCTTATTCTCACCAAGGCTAAAATACAGTAGGAAACAGTAATATTGTGAAATATTTTAAAATTTAAACTAACTGTTATCTGTTTGCATATATAAAATGTAACTTATTCCCTAGATGCAAAGGAACGAAACTCCAGTCTTCAGTGTCACAAGATCCTTTAGAAATCATTCAAATGTGGCGATTTGCTGCTCAAGAAACATTTTTATTATGACCAACATTGAAAACAGAAAAAAAAAAAATCTTTCTTTTTTACTATGTCATGTATGGATGGATGATATTTTTGTTTTTGCTATATTGAATAAATGTGAAGGGATCTTAAATTTGTAATGTTTCTTATTATTATTGTTTCTGTTATGTTGAAGTCTGTAATGTTACTTAACATCAGGATGCTGATGCAAGATGCAGTTCAAAATTAGAACTGATAAAGGAATTGTTGAGGATTCTGGAATCATTTGAATTGTTAAACTCTATATGATTCCTATCCCTAACTGTAGCAGATACCGTGAAGGAAGTGGGCGTTTGAGATGTCTGCTTCCTCCCAGTGAATCATGCTCTGCTTTGACCTTTTTATTGGCTGGAGAAGTTGATTTTGTAACCTAATGCCTTTTTGAACTGCAAACATCCTCCAGGGAAAGAGTGGAGAGCAGAGTCTCTCCCACTGGAGCAAACGCAGTCAGGAGGTTTAGTTTGACCTCTGGGATTCAGTTCTGATCGCACTGTGTTCTGAGTGCCTGATTTAGAGACCCATAGAGTACACTAATTGTACCTTTCCAAGGGTAAAAATGCTCAATATTTGACATTTGAACTATTACCCTTCATTTTATATAAGGGATAGTGTTCAGTCAGCTGGTCATTATGGCTAATTAAATCCCAGCAAGTAGTGCTTCATCCTGAGGGTGTTTATTTTGCAATCATGACTAGACGACTGTGCATTATTCTTCTTATTGCACAGCAGCTTACCAAATAAATAAATAAATGCACATTAAATATTCATTTGAGTTCAAATTAATTGTTTATGTGAGAAAATTGTAAACTGATTTATCTTGGTAAGTGTTTTTCTTTATCTCAGTGCTTAAATCTGATTAATATAAACAAATCCTTTTCTGATTGAGAGTAATTCATTTCTGCATGCTTTTTAATGTGTGATTCACAGTTTTGCCTCTCTGATTTGTTTTGATACAGTCGCTGTGTACAAGTTTGAAAGTTATGTTAAATGTCACTTATTAATCAGTGACACTAACAGTGTGACTTAACCAGACATGATGCAATAACACACTGACCATCACAAGACTTTTTGTCTTTTGCTTTGTTTCTGTCTTCATTACATTTTGCTTAGTAGCTCCGCCCACAGTGAAATCTTATTGGTCAAAAAATCTGCTCCATGTAACTGTATATTAAACAATCATTCTCTGAATGGTAAATTTATGTTGTAAGTTTTATGTTTTAAGTTTTGCTTCCATTAATGGTTATGGACTGTTTCATTTCTTTTGTTGATGATATTGACATACACTACCATTCAAAAGTTTAAGATCAAGATTTTTAAAATGTTTTTGAAAGAAGTGGCTTATTCTCACCAAGGCTAAAATACAGTAGGAAACAGTAATATTGTGAAATATTTTAAAATTTAAACTAACTGTTATCTGTTTGCATATATAAAATGTAACTTATTCCCTAGATGCAAAGGAACGAAACTCCAGTCTTCAGTGTCACAAGATCCTTTAGAAATCATTCAAATGTGGCGATTTGCTGCTCAAGAAACATTTTTATTATGACCAACATTGAAAACAGAAAAAAAAAAAATCTTTCTTTTTTACTATGTCATGTATGGATGGATGATATTTTTGTTTTTGCTATATTGAATAAATGTGAAGGGATCTTAAATTTGTAATGTTTCTTATTATTATTGTTTCTGTTATGTTGAAGTCTGTAATGTTACTTAACATCAGGATGCTGATGCAAGATGCAGTTCAAAATTAGAACTGATAAAGGAATTGTTGAGGATTCTGGAATCATTTGAATTGTTAAACTCTATATGATTCCTATCCCTAACTGTAGCAGATACCGTGAAGGAAGTGGGCGTTTGAGATGTCTGCTTCCTCCCAGTGAATCATGCTCTGCTTTGACCTTTTTATTGGCTGGAGAAGTTGATTTTGTAACCTAATGCCTTTTTGAACTGCAAACATCCTCCAGGGAAAGAGTGGAGAGCAGAGTCTCTCCCACTGGAGCAAACGCAGTCAGGAGGTTTAGTTTGACCTCTGGGATTCAGTTCTGATCGCACTGTGTTCTGAGTGCCTGATTTAGAGACCCATAGAGTACACTAATTGTACCTTTCCAAGGGTAAAAATGCTCAATATTTGACATTTGAACTATTACCCTTCATTTTATATAAGGGATAGTGTTCAGTCAGCTGGTCATTATGGCTAATTAAATCCCAGCAAGTAGTGCTTCATCCTGAGGGTGTTTATTTTGCAATCATGACTAGACGACTGTGCATTATTCTTCTTATTGCACAGCAGCTTACCAAATAAATAAATAAATGCACATTAAATATTCATTTGAGTTCAAATTAATTGTTTATGTGAGAAGAAAGAGTGTGGAGTGATTAGAGTCATTTAAAAAAAAAAGACCATGCCATACTATGATTGACTAATCAGAATCAAGTATTCCAGAGAGCTGTATGATAAGCATTAATGTATTACTGCTGTGAGATTTTATGTGGTAAATTATTAGATGTTTTGCAGTTTCTTATTTCATTTAAAGGAATGTTTCGCCAAAAAATTTTTTATATTATTTACTCACCTCCAGGCCATCCAAGATGTAGAGTTTGTTTCTTCATCAGAACAGATTTGAAGAAATTTAGCATTACATCACTTGCTCACCAATGGATCCTCTGCAGTGAATGGGTGCCGTCAGAATGAGAGCCAAAACAGCTGATAAAAACATCAAAATACTCCAGAAGTAATCCACACGACTCTATCAATTAATGTATTGTGAACCGACAAGTTGCATGTTTGTAAGAAATTGTGGATTACTTGTAAATAATTGTGATGTTTTAATCAGTTGTTTGGACTCTCATTCTGACGGCACCCATTCACTGCAGAGGGTCCATTGGTGAGCACGTGATGTAATGCTACATTTCTCCAAATCTGATGAAGAAACAAACTCATCTACATCTTGGATGGCCTGAGGGTGAGTACATTTTCAGCCAGTTTTCTTTTTTGGGTGAACTGTTCCTTTAATATTTTGTTTTGTATGTCTTTTCTTTTTTAATGCATTTTGTTCTTTTTTAAAATCACTTCTCAGTGAGTGTGTGATAACCAGTGTTCATCTCAGACTAACCAGCGTTCACTAAATCTCTCAGTACTTGCCTTGAAGCAGTCGTGGGTCAGTTCATTCTGCTCAGCGGGTGAAAAACGGTCAAGGACGAGCAGCAGATGTGAGAAAGTATGAGAAAGCCTCTCGAATGAAAGCCCCGAGACTGATTCTCTGTTACCCATCCATCATCATCTCTCTCTGTCAGTGAACAGGAGAGTTAGTGTGTTTTTAATGTGGTTTACTGTCCATCCGTCTCCTGCCGGTGTCCTTAAAGACTGTGTCCCCTGCCAGAGCTGCTGTCCTGCTCTCTGAGCTCTTATCAGTCATTGAGCAGAGCTCAGCCGCTCCACGACATTCGGACACACTCCCATCTGGACTGTCACTGCCTCTTTTTCTCATACTGTCTCATGTTCATACTCTGTTTTTTTTTTTCGTCCCACTTTTTCCACAGCTCTACCTTGTGGGTTGTTTCCCTTATTTTCTTCTTCTCTCGGTTCCTCTCACACTGAGCTGTCTTTCTGCCTACACAGGCAGCTGACGTCTGTGTTTTTTATGATTACTTTTAATTAAGACAGGTCTATAATACCTGGAGGAAGCGATCTGTTAGCATTCCCATTTATATCAGCTCATGACAGCGAAAAATAGTTCAGATTTTAACATTGAGTGAAGCGGATTGGTGTCAGGTTTAAAACAATGGATTGATTGGATTAATCTAAAGTGTCTTGTGCATTTGCATTAGCAAATTTATATGAGAGTTAATGCACAAATAGTGATACCAATGTTATGTTCTAATAAATATATAAATATACATTTTATCTTATTTTATTTTATCTTGTTTTGTTTTGCACCAAATCAGCATATTAGAATGATTTCTGAAGGATCATGTGACGCTGAAGGCTGGAGTAATGATGCTGAAAATTCAGCTTTGCATTGCAGGGATAAATTGTATTTAAACATATATTTGAATGCATAACAGTTCTTTTAAATTGCAATAATATTTCACAATAATACTGTTTTTACTGTACTTTTGATCAAATAAATGCAGCCTTAGTGACTTTAAAACATTTTTTACCAGCTGTGCTATCTCTGGCTTGCATACTAGGGTACTTACTAGGGTTTATAAAAGAGCTCATTAAAATATTCCTAATCAGTATTTTAGTGTTGTTTTTTAAGTAAATATATCTAGACATTTGTACAGCACTAAAAGTATGTTTGAGAAGCATATTTAAAACATTTCTTGTTTTACTTACATGTTTTAAGCATAACCTTACAAAATTGTATTTGATTTATTTACATGCATTGCATTTATGCGTTTACTAGACGCTCTTCTCCAATGTGACTTACATTGTATTTGGTTTTCTGGGGATCGAACC